TATTAATTAGAGGTAGCATATTAAGGTGTGTGGTGTGGACGATGTGAGTCACCGTCTACATCCACGAAGTGCAAAGGGCCTCATACCTCACATTTGAAGTAAGTTAACAATATGAGCAGAGGTTCCCAAACAATTTTTTTCTCGTAGACCCCCTGCTACTACATTTTTACCATATTCCCAAAATTCGTCGAAAATGTGAAGATCTAACGATGGAAATTGGCGTCGCGGGTGAGTTCCAACCCTAAATTCACCTCTTCTATTTTTATTTCACGTCAACGTAGACCCCCGTTGAATCCCTCGTGGACCCCTGTGGGTCAACCTGGATCACTTAGGGAATCACTGTTTTAGAGGCTACGTACGCATAAATGTTGGAGGAGCTCGATGGCGCACTGACTAGCGCGCTCGGCCTGCGATACAGTTGTTAAGCAACTTTCGCAATGGTCGGTCATAGGATGGGTAAGCAAAAATTTAGTATCTCGAACTCCTCCGTGCTGCATCTCCGTTAACGCCAATCGCACTGGGCCTTCGCGGTGGGTGGTGGCCCATTCTCCCTATTCGATTCGATTCATCCATAAGCCCCAGCAGCGGGGGCAATAATAGGTATAGCTGTACACATATAATAATAATAATAATATAGCTGTACTCTTAAACTCACTAACTTTTAACTAAGTAAGTATTTTTGTTCACAAATATAATATCAAAATAAGCTGTAATAAAAGCTGAGAAAACAATTATCTTTCTGGCGACCTCCGTTTAGTGGAGTGGTTCGCGCGCCGGTTTTAAAGTGTCATCGTCTTCGAGGTGCCTTTAGTTTCCCGGTCGGGTCAATGTAAAAAAATATACTTTTTATATTTTTCTAGTTTGGGTGTTGTGATACTTTCCTTGTCTCATATATTGCGTAATACTAGGGCATTATTTAAGTTGTCGTAGTAGATAAAACGTGATATTTCGCCGATAGAAAATTTCATCATTTTTGCGATTTGCTAATGCGCCTGGTCCTCATTTTGATGACGTACTTGCGTTCGAAAACTAGTACCGTTATCAAATAAACACTGGTTGTCGAGTACACCTATTGTTGTGTTGGCTTGTTTTGAGATCGCACGTCATTTTTGTTGGTTTCAATCGTTATTTGTTAAGTTTTGTTATTACTTGTTATAGTTGACTAAAATAGCAATAAGATTATTCATAAATATTTCAATATGTAGTTAAAAACAATTTATCTCTGGCCTTTTGTGTTATCTATACTTTATATTTTCATACGACGTCACGCGGGTGTTATTTGGACAAGTTTCCAGCGCATTTATTAGCAATTTACAGAACTTATAATCAAACCATTTTTTTATAGGAATTATTTATATCACTTTGTCGCCGAGGGGATAGGGGTGATGACTATTTTTGTTTGTCTGTCTGTAAAGTAGATTATTAAAGAATATGAAACAATCAGGCATTTTTTTTTGCGTGATCAATAAATTATTTAGTTTAAATATCCTCGCAACTCATGCTTTGACATTGCTAAATTTGCTAACTTCCGCATCGCAGACCAAACACGCTAACCACACGAAATGAAAAGTTTTTTTTTTTTAAGAAGTACCACTCGGTAGCCATAGTTAAGCTCTATAGCCCCGTCGTTAACACGGAGCGGTATAAAATTAACTCTTTTAATCTTATGTCTCCGAATTATAGTGGCGGCATAAAAGCGAGCACGTATTCAGGATTAAGGGCTTTAATAGTAGAATACTCCTCTGATGAACAGGATATATGTTTTCACATTTAGACGTTGAAATGTAACTGATGAAGATAGAAAATTATTTTTAACGGAGATGTATTACACGGGACTGGTGTTTACACCATTTCAAAAAACAAATAAAAAAAAATTAAACAGACTTCAAAAAATCGTAATAAAGAGAAACGACTTAAAAGAGAAAAATAATACGATAAATTTTCTTATTCAATAAAATCGAAACAAAAAGTTGACACACAAACAATTTTTTCCCGACTGCGCAACGCAAAGGAGGGTAATGTGTTTATCAGTCCATGTATGTATGTTTCTATATGGCGTTCTTTAGACCAAATGCGTAGGCCGATTTTGATGATTCTTACGTCAATCGATTCGTCTTACCTTGCGAGTGTCATTAAAGACATGACAGTAATCAAAATTCTCCACAGCGACAACCAGACGCCATATTGTAAAAATAAAAAAAAATCTATGATCTATGTCAAGTAGATTGTCGTTGAATTGGTATTTTAAAATCATCTTTAGGTTCCTTTTATCATTTTTATTTTAAATAATAGTTTAGGATATATAACGATTTAAAGTTGTTTAACAATCTATATTAACTCCCTCAATGAAATGACTTGATTGCGAAATTTACCATCTTATAACGAAGTCAGCGAATCGTAACTAAAAAGTATAGTATAAAAATAAATAATTTAAAGAAAAACAAAAACCCGATTGCGTAAAAACGAATTTAAAAAAATACATGAAAACTATTACAATTGTGTAATTATTTAGTATTACTTAACAGAATTCTAAACTACTGGGCTTATTTCTTTCTTTTTAGTTTTTATTTAAGTAAATTTTTTCATGTATTTTTTAAAATTCGTTTTTACGCAGTCGGGATTTTTGTTTTTCTTTAATTTATTTATTTTGAGGTCTGTGTCAGCCGTGTCATCTATACTAATATTATAAATGCGAAAGTAACTCTGTCTGTCTGTTACTTAATCACGCCTAAACTATTGAACCAATTTGCATGAAATTTGGTATGGAGATATTTTAATACCGAAGAAAGGACATAGGCTACTTTTTACCGCGGGAAAATGACGCATTCTCACGGGAAAATAATCTAAATATATATAACTTATATATAACTCAAAGGTGACTGACTGACATAGTGATCTATCAACGCACAGCCCAAACCCCTGGACAGATCGGGCTGAAATTTGGCATACAGGTAGATGTTATGACGTAGGCATCCGCCAAGAAAGGATTTTGATCAATTCTATCCCCAAGGGGATAAAATAGGGGATAAAATTTTGTATGAAACTTTTTCAATTTTAAACCGATCGGGCTGAGATTTTGTATAAATAAGGCTACTATGACGTAGGCATTGTCTAAAAAAGGATTTTGATTTATTCTACCCCTAAGGGGATATAATAGGGGATGAAAGTTTGTATGAAACTTTGTCAATTTTAAGGGCTGAGACTTTGCATGCATAAAGCTACTATGACGTAAGCATCCCCTAAGAAAGGATTTTGATAAATTCCACCCCTAAGGGCATAAGCTAAGAGGATAAGACTTTTTTCAAGTATTTTACACGATATTATGAATAAATATTCGTTAGAAATGCTGCTCAATGTAACTTTACCACGCGAACGAAGTCGCGGGCAAAAGTTAGTTAGTAATAAGTAAACAGCACTATCGGAAAATCTATTTTTCTCGAACCATACATGATACATTTCTTTAAAATATCTGGCACAGATGGGGTTATTCTCTTTTCAGTCGTTTCTCTTTATTACGATTTTTTAAGTCGGTTTAATTTTTTTAATTGTTTCTTACTCTTTTTATAAGAAGCTTAAATTTTAATAGGTTATATCTTCAAAACTACCGAACCGATTTTGATAAAACTTGTAGTTTTTGAAGTTCGTTAAAAACAAAAAAAGAAACTGATTTAGATAAAAATATAAAAAATTAAATGTAATCTACATTACTAATATTATATCGATTCTTTAACAAACACCTCTATAACACAGGTAGGTATCTCTGACAGTTCTCTGTGCAGGGCGTGCTTGCAGTCCAAAGAGACAAGCCCCCACGTCCTACTGGAATGTTGAGGCGTTTCAAGACAAAGGACTACACATCCTAGGTATATCGCGGATTTTAATGGGGACATGGAGCAAGGTTCGACGAATCATTGGCTTCCTGGAGCTGGCAGGAGTGATGCAGCCCCGTAATTCACGCAAAACAGACACTGGGTGTCGAGTTGCGGAAATGCCCGTCGTACAACATAACTAATAATAAAAATAGATAAAGTTATTAACTTTGTTCTACGGTAACATTGATTCGATCATGAAAATACTTTCATCTACGGGAAGCTACATCATACGTGGATGCTATAGGTTATAATTTACGCGGGTAAAGTCGCGGGAAAACAGGGGCGGGAAAACGGGCGAAGATTTTCTGTGCTATTATTATTAAGTGATTGCCGTCCGACATTAATAGTAGTTTCTTGAATAATTCGCTTTTTAGATAAGTATTATTGATTTATTATAGATTGATAAGATACAAAAAAAAACTTTGACAATAATCGCAATGGTTTGCAAATAATACCTATTTTTTTACGTATAATTCGCCATCTTTTTTCTCTATCTATTTCATTGTCAGGGGATAAGATAAATAAATAGAAACGTTTTTTACATCACGTTTTTATTTACTTTCCTTATCATGCGGGCAAGCACCGAACTAGAACTTAATTTATACTGAAATTTAATAAAATAAGATATAATGTTAGAAACATTTAAAAAAATATTATTATTCGTTGAAAGGAAGCTTACTTTTCTTAGTCTGCGCCTTTCTCTTAATGTTGCGGCTTTTCGTCGATCGACGGCCGCTGTTTTCCTTTTACAAGCTTTACACGCCCAAGCTAGGCACCGCCTACTCGGACCTAATACATGCTGCACATGTTCTTCTTCCGCATTATCTTCATTTTGAATTTCAAAACTTTTATTTTCGTTTTTCACTTGGCAACATTCATCCAAAACTTTATCACGCGCCGATTTTTCTAATTCAAACTCTTTATATTTGTTTGTATAATTTTCGTATATAACACTGTAACTCATTGTTTTCTTTTGTATTTATCTAACAAGTATAGAATAACTTTATTTATCACTTATTTTAAATTATATACCTTGTTTTAGAATGTAATTCTTTCAATTGGTTTTATTATTACTTAAGACACATTAAAAAAGTTTTGGTGTCACATAAAAAAGGATTTTTTTCCAAAATGGCGTTTCCCGCCAACTTTGACAGGTGACAGTTTCAGCACTCGCGTATCTTTTTTTTTCGGGTACCGCGCGCCGCGGCATGCACGACACTGAATCGAGGGTGAGATTTGAGAAAATATGCCCGTCTATTAATACACTGTCTAGCTTGTACCATGTCGTTGAGAGATGCCAATTTATTAGTGTTTGGATTGAAATTGATGCCGGCAATATTTTTCCCGTGAATTTGTTGCGTTGAAAGCGTCCGGACATTTTTATTCACGCGAGCTCGTTTTCGTTTTGTGGATCGATTTTTAACATGTTTTCTTATTTATTATAATGTTTATACCTATAGATATTGTACTAAATTAAAGGAGAAAAACAAATATTTTTAAACAGCAAGCTCCGATATTTTAAAACTGATAAATAAACCTTTGGTTTATAAATTAATTAATACGCTGTTTTGGAATTATTATAAAAATTGACAAATTTTTTCTCTTTCCCTGTTTTACCCAAAGCATATCATATCTAGATAATATCGCACCCTGGACCCTAAAGACTACAGGTTTTTATTGCGAAACATCTACTCGCTCACATAGACTCGCGATCATAGTTACGAAACTAGTCAACTTTTTTTTTTGGTTTGAATAACATAAAAACTATAAGAAACATAGCACTACATATCTACTATATAAAGCTGTGAAAAAAATGAGAAATGGATAAATTAGAATTATCGATTTCCAAATCGAAAAATAATTACGTTTATTTTTTCTATGGCATTTAATAAACCTGTCATCGAAGCTAATCAAGTTTATCTAAATATTATGCCACTTAAATATTTTTACCTAAATTGGCTGTAGAAAATCATCATTTCAATACCATAATATTAAAAAAGAAACTTGACAGACACTGTGTCCGACACAGTGTCAAAGATGGCGGGCGTAAGGGCGGGAGCACGCACGCGCTCAGAGGAGACGAAAAAGACGGATGCTGCTTTTGCACAAAGACATGCATCGAGTAGTATGATGGTCGCAGTAAAATTAATTAACTACTGTTTAATGTTTAAAAAATTAACTACTGTTCAATAACTAAAAATATGAACGAAAATTCTAATGAAGGATTTCTTTAAGAACACATTTTGAAATAATTAAACAAATAGCAATATGATATATTCCAAACGATTATTATATTTTTTTACCATATGAAACCGTAACATTCCAAAAAAGACATTAAAAATAGTCAGTGGACTATAGTATAGGCCATTCTCTTCACGCGGGGGAGGAGTCTTCATATCGACAACAATATTCGATTATATCTTGACCTAACTTAAAAAAACATTAACTTACCAACACAGTTTTTAAGTCAAATTATAGTCAACTAACAAGTGATCCTTTCATCGCTTAATAAATTAATGTTATTATTATTAAATTTGACAACTGTTAATAAAATATGTGGAAAGTGTTAACTTTAGATATTGTGCTGGGTAACATATACATATTCATAAAACAATTTACCACACATGTACTTTGTTTGGAAATTCAAAATTATTTAATGTTATTTAAATAAAAATATTTTTTTTATAAAATTATTTTTCTTTAGAGTTACTCCATCCCAGTCACTGTTTTGCAACATAACATCCCCGATGATTGGGGTGTGATCCACCAGGCAAGGGCACTGGTGCTATAAAATTAACAATAAAACACCAAAGTGTAAAAACAAAGCTATAAAAAGTGTAATCGTAATTCAATTATTCATGTGCAACATAAGAGACAATTCTGTAAAAACAACACCACTTACGGAACAATGCTAGAGGTAAGCTAACGATTTTTCCCAATCATATTTTTAAATCACGATACAAACCTATTTTTAACTGTACCTTTTTTTAGAGCATGCGACCTTTTTACGAATTAGAAAAAAAGAAAAAAATAAGAAACAAAATTTAGTTAGAAATCTACCAGTGGTTTTTATATAGTTAATTTATAATAAAAAATGTCATGAACAACCTATCTGTAAGGTTCTTTTTTTTCTTGATTTTGTTTTGATAAATTGCTATTATATAACATAAATCCGTAAAGATCGGAGTAAAGGTGACCTAAATTTGTGTGTAAGATGACATTACCTACCAGATAGACGACCTAGGTCAAAGAGATTACACTGCGTTGGTTCTAGGTCACAACACTATTAGTATAATTTCTTATGCAATTTAAAGTGAATATTTGAAAAACCAGTGAATTTATATTAAGTGCAAAGTAATTTAAAAACCAAAATTTATTTGTGATTGAGGGATAGATTTAACATTATTTTGTTGCAAATTGTTTAAAACAATATTTGATTTATTTTACATACGTTCAGTTGCATAAACATCCATTAAGGTTTAATGACGGCTTTAAGCTCTAAAGAATGTCAATATTGTATGGGTAATGTCACTTTAAACTAATGGAAATTTTTATTGGCGTTTGTGCAACTGGCTGTTAAACAAATTATTATATTACATAAAAAGCATTACGGGATCCCAGAGAGCCACACACGACTTCTTTCTTGAACTTGTTGAAGAAGGAAACATCATCAGCATCAAAAGTGAACTTAAAATTAAATAAAATTCGTGTGTTTCAAACAGAAGTCGTAAATTATTTTTAATGGGCACCACGTTGGGCGCCATTTAAATAAAACCAATTATTCTTTACCTCAAAATATGTATTAGGGCTATTACAAAGGAATTTACTGTCGCTCAACATTTTCATATATTACTTTTAATTACTGGTCATTTTTATTCCTTATTCTATGTACAGCTTGGAGCACCAAAGTAGGCAAATGGCCAGGACTGGAACGATGTACTGCCCGTCTAGCCCCTACCCCTTATCCTTAATTTGAGTCAGGTAACAAAATTATTCCGAATGAGTGTTTTTTTTACTATTTAACAAAAAATAATAAACCTAATAAATATTCATCAACGTTAGTCAAGTTAAATCTCCAGTTAATGTTAAAATACTGGATATTATGATTCATATTTTATGTTAAACAATTATGAAAAATATATCCGACTGACTATTAGACTATCCAGAACCACGCGCGTATTGGACAAGTTTCGTAACATTACATTACTCGTGCGATATATGCAAATAAATAAAACCAATAAAACGTTTTCAGAAATGAACCTGAAGTAGTGTTTACGTTATATACTTATTTCACTCTCACTCTCTTCCTCGTTTTCCTAGTGAGCTTGCACCACGTGCGAGCGAGAGGAGACGATGCACCCCTCCACCAGGTGACGCTGTCGCCTGCACCCGCGGAACATGTCATGGGACTCAATAGAGTCACGAGACTTCCTCGGGTATACTATTTTTATCTTATTCTCAACATATGTAACGTTCAATTCTTTATGGGTGTTCGCATTGAACACTAAGTAAGTAATAAGACATTCGCAAGATAACCCAAATCGATTCACGTAAGAATCATTGAAATCAGTCGACTCGTTTGCTATAGACGAGAATGCCGCAGAGAAACAGTAAAAAGGTCGGTTTGTAACGGGTTCGATGCTTGGGCAAATAATAAAAGGCTGACTAGCTTAAGAATGGATTTATTTATGGTGCAGAGGATATAGAAAAGAAGCCCTTTTTGGGTTTGATTACACTTTGAGTGTGTGACTTAAAAAACACATGCGTTAATTAAGGTACATAACTGCGTCTAAATTTTTATTATTTTATCATGGACTGTAAATAATTTCAGTTTTCAAATCTCTTCCAAGAATCTTAGTGGATACAACATAAAAAAAATGATTATTATAATTATAAAATATCATTATAATATTGTAGGCATAAAGGATTTTTCAATTTCTATTGAATCTGAAATAGCACATAGTATTTTTACAGCGGGGCGCCGGCGCATCAATTATCGGCGACGCGACTCCTCAGCTCACCTGATCCGTCGCGGCACCATCTCGATGAACAAAATGGTAAGTCAATGTGATTATATGAGATATGGTATTTTAACCAATACGAAGCTGAACGACAATCTTTTGAACATTTTTGAAAGAATGAAAAGTACTCGTATGAACTATCACCAGAGGTCGGAATTAGGTAGAGTTATTTATGTACTTGCATCGAAATGTTGATATTAATGTGGACCTTCCCGGGATTTCTAATGGACAATCTTGGACATCTTTGGACATCCGATGTCATTGATGTAAGTTTGGCAACGTCGTGTGTGCAGTAGTTTAAATTGTGTAAAAGTAGATAACCTTTTATTTAAAAAATCACTGGATTTTTTCTGCTCTTTAAAATTAATCTCGGGATTTGAGGCATATCCACTTTATTCTTTCGCTGTATGAAATCAGTGTAAGTACATGAATAACCTAATTCCGACCACTGACTATCACAGACTGCAAGCGGTAATCGTTTAAAATAAAAAGAGCTCACTTTCTCGCTTCGTAAAGGGAATTGTCACTGAATTTTTCATGGCTATAGTGCTGTTATTGTACTGAAGCTTAGTTATTTACCTACGTTTTGAAGAAGAAGATTTTTTTTGACATGTCACCAAAAATTACATTTCAATATATGATACACACAATTAGAAATACTACACTAATAATAGTTATCACACCTTCAGTTTGTGTTGACGTGACACTAACAAACTATAAACGGTGGAACACTAAAAGCGGTCTTTTGCAGAAGTGTACCCATTCACAGAAGACTACGGGTCGCGGAACGGTGCGCTACGGTGGGGCTCCCGCTTCGGTCCCGCCTACAGACCTTCGACCGGAGTCCTAGACTGCTTCAATTTGTGCACAGCGAGAATTGACCAATATCTCGCCAGGAGAAAGGTAATCTGTTAAGCACTTTTAATTATGAAACTCAAGATCAGTTCTCGGGCGGGCTTGTTCGGGAAACGGAATAAAGACTGTATTAGATGAAGTAGTATATAAACATCTCGCAACGAGCTAGCGAAGAATGAAGTTTTGCATGCTTATGGTGGTAGTAAACTTTTTGTTTCAGTCTATGTTGCCGCTATAGAGTATCAACGATATAGGCCTCATACCAAAAGCTCTGTCTAACTGCGATTTTAACACTTTTTTTGCAATCGGTTCTTTTCGGTTTATTATGCTCTTCCTGTGCAACTTATTATCATATTTTTGTATGCACATATTTGTTCTAGTATACACAAACACATGTTAGTATATGTATATACAGGTAGATTTTGGAAATGGATTAAAATAAATAGTCCTCCGCTTACGGCTTTGTTCACATCTAGATTAGTCCGCGCGTCAAATTTTTCTACTTTCAAGATACAATGCAACATGATCTTGTGCTGATTGACATATTAACTTCTTTTCATTAGATCGAGCGCGGTGTACGCTTATATAACTCCAATGAGCAGCAACAAGCGGTAAAAGTATGGCTGTCCGCGCTCCGAGGTGTTCGGCACCGAAGCGACAAATTCTCTCTACTCGGGCACTTATACCAAGCATACATGGACTTTGGAAAATACAGGCACGTACTTAAAATAATCAACGCTATTAACAAGCTGTTAAAGAATGACCTAAACGTATCAAATTCTGCAGTAAAACCACTTTAATTTAAAAGAGTTTAAATTAACGATCTGGATAACAGGAAATGTGTTTCAATTTATAAATTTTGTTCAGGGAATCGTTAGAGTTTGCGAAGAGTCAGCTAAGCATATCAGAGGAGCTGGATTCGGCACCGATGCGCGCTGAGGCGTATCTCAATCTAGCGAGGGCACATCAGACACTGGGCAGCTTAGACAGGTACGTTTCCTTCATAAACAATAAGTAAGAGTTCGGAAAGAGATTTGAATAGCGACCATTTATGCGCATAAGTCTGTTTATCTTCAATCTCGACACATACACACCATTGCTGTTGTAAAAATGTCGCAATAATTGTGCTAGTCAAAGCGGTCAAAAGCTGCTGTTTTGAAGCTACTGAACATCTGTCAATCCGGAAAGGATTACACTACGTGGTCTGATGTTAATAATGCAACAGTGCGTTATCTTGTAACGTCAAAAGTGAATATAATTATTTACAAGCTGGATTATATTTCTTTAAGCTCAACAGATTATGTCAGTAAAAGAATTACGAATTAAGCGTGTGCCTGTTTATGGCAGAGCTCTTTCATACGCTCGGCACGCGTTGTACAACGATTGCGGTGGCGGTTCCACTGCCGGCTGCGTTCATCTCACGGTCGCTGGTGTCAGTCTAGAGCTAGGCGCCTTCTCCAAAGCTATGGATGGATTCCAGAAAGCATTAGCCGCTGCGCAAGTTCATAACGATAACACACTTCTGTTGCAGGCGAGTTATGTTTGTATAACGATTTTCCACACGAAATTTAGAATTAAAAATAGATTTAATGCGAAAGCTAAGATTGATATCACTGTAATATTTAAAAAAATTGAGACGTGTGTTACGCAGTAAATCATAGGTGTCTAATATTTGACAATTTTTGCGACAGATTCAAGAAGGTCTAGGCGAGCGTTCAATATAATATACAGAGTTAACTTTTAAATTAGTATACTACCTACTCTAGAAAATAAATTTCGATAATAAAAATAAAGACTTTTTTAACGTTGAAAACAAAAAACCTAAACTAAATAATACAGTATTATTGGCTATATCATTAAACTTTCTATTTCACTTCAACACTTAAGTCTGTTTTATTTTGATACCTACCATTTCTAGGCATTGATATAGTTAATCTCCAATAGCAATCGCCTGCCCTTCAAGTACCTTGATTGCTAACTCATACGTTTTTGGGGATTCAGTCACAAATACCTGGGCAAAAAACCAGTGAAAGCCGGTAAGCTCTCTGATAAATTAGGTTAGGTTAAACACTGACATCTTCCGACTCGTGCGCAGGTGTACGTAGGTCTTTCGGAACTATGGCGTCGTCTCCGCGATTGCGAGCGTGCAGTTGCGTGCGCGGCGCGCGCATGTGACTTGGGCAGAGGTCCGCGCGCTGCCGACCTGAACACTCGCCACCATCGCACTGCGTTACTGCAAATGGCGGCTGCGTTACGCGCCAGGGGAGAACTGGGGGATGCGCACGACTACTGCAATGTGAGTTACGTGTAGACTGATATACCCTAACGCCACAGTACGGCCGGCCTTTTTTTCAACGCTAGGAAATGAAATACACATACTCGTTTCCCCCTGCAAGAGGTCCACGAGTTATGCAGGACCTACCCTAAGAATGGGGGCTAGCCAAATAGCAGAGGAATACCCACTAAAGCCTAGCGATGTTCGAACGAGCACACGAGCGAAGCACGGTGCGGGTCCCGATCCCTGGTCACGTATTTCACACGTATTACGACCTGCGCCACCTGAGTGAGAGCTAGATATCCTAGCCACTAGACCATATACAGTAGGCCCGGGCCTAGGGCAGCCAGATATTTGGGGGTTTAAATGATAAAATGCTGGGTGTTGTTAATTGTATCTTCACTTATTTATCAGAAACAAGCTTTTAAATAAATAAAGGGTACTGTTCTGAGATAAGAATGGAATAAAACTCCTATTTCTATAAAATCTCTATAAGGTTTGCAATAATTGTAACAAAAAACAAACTCATGAGTTATTACTAAGTTACATGATATCAAAACTTCATTCTGTAGTAGTTAGAAGTAGTATTTTGTTAATATTGACACTAAACCGATGAATCGATAAAAAATAAATATTGCTCTTTTAGGAAGCACTGCGGTTGGCTGCCGTGGCTGGAGACCAGGGTTGTTACGCTAGAGCAGTACGAATAGCCGGGGACGTTTATAGACGGAAATGCGACATCGGAAAAGCGCTCAGGTAACTTTAACTTAACTACATTTTAACTTCATTATATTGTTAATTATCGGAAAAGAAAACATGAATAAAAAAACTTACTTCATTGATAAGTGTTCCGAGATGATATACATACAACTAACCGAAGTTTTACGTTATGTGCATTAATGGTAGGCACACGATTTCTTAGCATCGATTTCTTAAAGACCCCGTTTCTGAATTGAGTATTTAAAGTTCAGCACATCACAAACAGAACTTAAACATGTTTTCATTTCTGATTATAGTTTTTTAATGACAATTTGATATTTTTTATTACTTTGATAAAAACTTGAAATGGAAAGTAAAAATCTATAGTTATTGAGAATAAACAGTTGAGACTTCGTACTTTTTTCAATTCGGAAACAGGCCATTAATATTTTAAAAATTCGATTTCAGTATATTTTACCGGCTTCTTAAAACTGACCGTTAACTAAAGTACATTGAGCATAGATATACCCTTAAATTTAAATTGTAGTTTTATTTATATTTAGCAAAAGGTTTGTCTGATGGTTGTAATCGTTGTAATAGTGGCTTTAAAATCTATTTAAAAAAAAAATACCCCATTTCCCTTATTCACACCATCACACGTGAACGGGTGGACCGATTTCGCTAATTCCTTTTTTGTTGTGTTTGTTATTGTCAGGAGAAGTTTCTTATGAAAGAAAAAATAAATTAGAAAGTTGTGTGGAAAATTTAATAATATTTAATCACCATATAAAATTGTTTCTTTTCCAACCTTACCTACAATACCTGTAAATACCTACAAATCTAACTTTAGTTGGATAATTGAAACTTTTTAATGTTACCTTATGACGTTTGACAAAGAATTGACAGAATCCGTGCTGCAAAAGATAGAACAACGTCTGTTGGGTCAGATAGAAAAATAAATAAATACCTTTTCATCCTAAGACACTACGAGGTAGCGATGGGCGCAGGACAAGCGCTGGGAGATCGGCTGGCGCAGATGGAGGCTATGGACGGCGCTGCGCGTTGTCTCGAGGCATTGCGATTGCAGGGACGCATATGTAACTGTCGCCCCCTCGAGTTTAATACACGTCTGCTCGAAGTCGCCACTTCCGTTGGCTCTAAGGTAAGGGGTGAATTCCTCAAATGCTGCCCATGATATATCGAATCTGCAAATGTACCACATCCGTGGTATGTTAACATTTGTTAAATTCACAAATTAATTCATTCTGCTCAATGATATATTTATTACACACCTGAGTGTAAGTAAATACATTTGGTCAAAATTTTGTTATATATCTGTATTATAAATCTTACATTATTATTTTGAATGTTTAATTGATTGGCGCTCAACGGATGTAGTTTGGCGCCCAACGTGGTAATATTAACCAGTAAGAAACTTATCACAGGTATTCTAACGTGCGCGTTTAAATATCGAAAACGAATCATATCACAAACGTTTGTATTGTTGATTTTAGTATTACATTAGTTTATCTACATATATATCTTTTTATAATAACAATAAGCGTTTATTTTGCTCTTATCAGATGTTGGTGCGTCGTGTGCGTTTGCGTTTAGCCGATATATATACAGCTTTGGGAGATAACAACGCCGCTGCCAAGTTGAAACGAACAGCTGCCACGTATGTGGCGCCTACTTGTGCGCGCTGCAGAGAGCCGCTGGCGGAAACAGCTGAACCACTCGCAGCATTACCATGCGCTCACATAGTACATCACGCGTAAGTTATCAGCCCTTTTACGTCCCCACTGCTGGAACTCAGCCTTCTTTATGGATGGTTAAGGAGGATAAGCCATAACCATTCATGCAGGCCCAATGAGGATTTTAGGGTATTAACGACTGCACATGCAGCCGGGACCAATGGCCTAACATGTCTTCCGAAGCACGAGATAATATTTTTTGGTCACCCATCCCGTGACAAACCCTTGCGAGAAGTTGCTTAACAACAACGATCGCGGGCCGCGGCGCTTATCCACTACGCCACAGAGCTACTGCAAGTTGTGAAAACATATTTTTATATTCCACTGTTAAACTTTAATATATGAGATAAATACGCAAATTTGGTCTCAATTGACTGCATCTTCGTTAGATGCTTCGAGACGAACATGATTGCTAACGATGAATTAAGCCAGTGGAACACATCTCATAACAGTAAATTGGAAATTGAATTAATCAAGAATATGAAAAGCTAGCCGAACCCAAATATTTACAACGGATTGATCGTTAGAACAGAGTCCTAAATGACCATGTCTTGCAGTATTGCGATTTAAACCTCGTCTGCAGCTACGCACTTAGAGCAGCGAGTACTTTTATAGTTTATTCAAAAAGATAACCATTCTGATATTTAAGGGTCTTTAATAACAGTTTTTGTTATGCTTGCGTGAATCCCATCATAACAAAGTAACCTTAAACAGATAACAGTTTTTCTGTGTTGCTGTGTAAAAATCTTAACGTTACTTTCTTTGCTGGCTCGCGGCCTCTTTTCTTTTCTCTTTTCAAACAAACTCCTACAAGCACATATGCACGCATATCGTCTAGTTTCTCGTAATATATTTTACTTCGCCATGACCCAATATACTTGTACATTACGCATGGCTCGTTTTTGTTGGTCAAAACGTCTGCATGCAAAATATTTGTGTAACACATGTCAACGAGCTCGCATGCGGATAACCGTTTTCAATAATTGTATTTTATATGGTAGGCTATTTTCCTAAGAATGCGAGTTCCCCGCACGTAGATCGAAGATTTCACTGGCCGTTAAGCGGGGAATTCACTAGGCACACATACCCGTGGGCAAGTTTGCAGACATGCCTGCCACACCACGTGGTTATTGAGATGGACCAACACTAGCCCGCCCTATAGTAACGAAGTCCGGCGGGCATGTCTACAGACTTGCCCGCGGGTAGGGTTGCCAGGTCGCCAAACCTAATAGCCGGTCAGACCAGTCAGTCGGCTGGTATTGTTTTTATCCGGACGATTTTGTGTCTCAGTATTAATAGATATCGCAAAAAAATTGTATGTATAATCAAGCTTTTTTCATTATTATCATAAATCTGTCGGCGCACCTGCGCTCAGCCACGCTCGGCGCTTGCTGTTAAATGTAAAAAGCCTAACAACCCAAGTAGCACAAAACACCATTATATCAAACTTATGATAGCACGAGTCCAAGCGTTAAGCATTATAATAAAATCGTATATCAACCGTATTTCTTTTAAACGACTCTTATACGTAAAATTTGGGCCCCTCCTTTGTACGACTTTAAGCTTTTTAAAAGCTGTGCAATAGCACTACAACTTTTGTATAATAGCATTAATAAAGTCGGGTAAAAGCATTCTAATAGCCACAAAAAGTTCAATTAGCACCTTAAAGTGCTAATTGAACTTTTTGTGACTATATTACAATTGATATGCGGAAATCAAAATTATAATACGTTAATTTAATGTCATTTAAATTCTTACTGTTTTATTTCCTTTGTAAAAAAAGTATATTTAATAGATTTTATAAATATATAATTGGTTTAAGTTATTGTTTTGTGTGTCATGATATGTTCTCTTGGCTGGTTTTTTAAGTATTTTTTAATATTGATTTAAACATCTCGTTATGTGTGAAATAAGCTGCAAACATCAGTTTGTGGAGTAAAATATACAAGTTTATGGTGTAAAATACACGCGCCTTCGTAAACTTCCTTTAATATAATAAAAATAATAGAAAATTTAACCTAGTAGCAAAAATTTTTTTGAATTTTAGGCTTTTTAGCATTGTTTTAACAACATAATTGCTTTTATAGGCATCTATGCAAAAAATAAATGATTATTTACCCCTTTTTATCTGACACAGTTGACTTTAAATATTTTGTAAGAATTGGAAAAAGAAAGCAAATGGCGACTCGTAAAATTGAAGCATTAGGTATTCAAATATAGTGTAGTAGAGCTGTTAATCGTATTATGGTTAGACACAAAACTAAGAGCTCGTAATTCATCGTATAAAACACTCCCATTTTAGGTACAGTCGTATTTTAACACTTCAGAAGTATCTTATAATGCTTATAATCATCAAACGATTATGTCATTTTGATTTTGATTTTTAATAGTTTCAATTAAATTAATATATTTACTCTGTTTTCAGTTTTCTTTTATATCCACCTGTTTTCTTTGTTTTTCCCAACCTTTTTTGTCCATGGCGCCATCGATGCGTATAAAATGCCACCATTACAATACAATACATAAAATAATTTTACATTTTAATTTCACATAAAAATAATTACGATCTATTTATTACTTGTATCTCTATAAATAACTTAATATTGATCAAAATATAGCCTAATGTTTTATAAAAGCATCGATTAAGAAGATAAAGGAGCTTGAGCTTGATTAAAGAATACTTTAAGAACAAATCGGTGCTAAAGTTTTACTAGTTCTTTATTCAATGTGTATATAAGATAAGCATTAAATCGATACAACCATAGGCCATTAGAAAACCTTTGTTTCTAGAATATGACTAAATACAACTAAGTGCACTAAATAATATTACGTTAATGCTTATATAATATACATATAATGTTTTTCATATCACCGAAATACGATTACAGCTTTATATATATATTACCCAATACTTAAATAGGAGTTTTGACATTGGTATACTTTTTTTATTAACCATAATATGGCATTAAGCGTTATTAGATAAAATAAATGCCTTTAAACAGATTCGAAACTTGACCAGTGCTAATTAAAAATTTTAGTATGACTTTAGGACATAAATCGGTACTTATTTTAGTTATAAGGGTGATTCTTGGGAAATGTGTTCTCCGCGTAATTTCCAGGGCATTTTTGAAATCGCAAAATTATGGTGAATTATATAAATATTTCGAAAACTTCTGCAAATTTAAACAACATATTAAAATTGGCCACGACTGAGATCTATACTTTTGCTAAAAAAAAATGTAGAAAATTGGCGGACCATGGAAATTACAATAAAGGCAATGGAAATTACACAGCAGATAAAATTTTGCTAAACACCATGCCATATATGAAATTAAGCTGTCATATTAGTTAGGGTAGTATTAAGATCTACCTACATTATACTGAAACGATATACGATAGTACTTACTCAAAATTGAAACGAAACGTAAACACGTTCATGTTCTCAAAAAACAAAATATATACAACGTGTTATGGAAATAGCGCAAAACCTCTCAGGTGGTAGCTCAGCCCATAAAACTGAACAATTTTCATTATGAGACCAACATTGAAATTTCAGCATCTGGCAAATTTTTCGAAGTAACGTTACATCTGACAAACAAAAGTCGGGCGTCGAAGTAAGATATGCGATGTATTGAAACTTCGAACAATGAAGGCTTCGACGTACTTGTATAGTTGTCGATGTATCAATTATTGAAGAAACGTGTTTCGAAGTGACATAGAGAACCCTTTTTCGAAATGGTTATTTATTTTGTCAATTATTTTATAAAATACGCATCCTACGTCAAATATCAATAATTAATTTATTGTAAATTTAATTGGCTTTCATTTAACACCGATTTGGTACCTGTAGGGCCAGTGGTTTTCTCAAAAACGACAGATAGCGAACACCGGTCATAAGTAGATATTAGGAGGTTATTTCAGTCAAGATAACCCCCTTGGCTATCTATCGTTTTTGAGAAAACCATTGGCCCTACAGGTACCAATTTAGTGTTTAATCAAAGTAAATTTTTACAATAAATAAATAAATTATATAATATGTTAACTTAATCCGGTGATATTTAAGACGATTTAATTAAAAAAAATAACTAACATTCAACATTTAAGTCTGTATATGGCGATGGCGTGCATTTCATTGAAAACAAACATTTAACATAACGTAATTTCCATGGGTGATACGTAATTTCCATGGTGTTTTATCCATGGAAATTACACCATGGAAATTACCAAAAAACATATATTTTGAAATTACTCTGCATTGAAAAGATATAACCGGCTAGTTTTTTACTGTTTATCTACATTATAGAGCTAGGTATTTCACCTTAAAACCCATTTTCTAGAAGAAGTACAATTATATTGAAAAAATGTGACATGGCAAAGCCGGATAACTGAGAACCAAAATTTAAGAGATTGAAGAACTTATTCTCGCAACGAAAGCGCGGGTAACAGCGACGTGGCCACCTCACCTGCTAGCTGCGGCGTAAATGACGATTCGTAAACACCAATCGGGGTTCGTCTACGCCTCTCCAGCTCAGAGCAGTATCTCGTGCAAGGCGCGCCGCGAAAATTTTGCTAAGCGTGTGACACGTATACTTCTGACCATAAAATCAAAAGTTTCCTTCCGATTAATTTGAAATTTGATCAATATGTAAAGTGATTTGTCTTTTTTAAATGTGTGTAACAAACTGATTAAAAACGTGGGTAATTTCAAAAATATTTGCGATTGCTCAAAAGTCGGCGCGCGTGTGACACGGTAAAAACGTGCAAAATTGACCGGATTTGAGGTGTTGAGGGTAAGTTACTCCGATCTACGTCGTTTTTTATCCGTGAAATCTATATGACACGATGCTTAATGAAATGAAGAAACGATGTAATAGTAGTTTTTATCATTATAATTTATTTTTATAGGAGATATGACCCTGTGACACTCAAAAATTGCTTTTTCAAGAAGTCTTATTACTGCTTGACTATACTGCTTGACTGACTTGACTTGACTACAAATATTTACAAATTTGGCCCTACCCTTATTCTAAACTTAACATCTAACTTAGATACTAGTGACGCGCGGCGGCCGACCAATCACAGCGCGTTTTACGCCCGCGCGCCGGGTGGGGGAATCGCCCCCACCGTGCGGACGGCGCCTACGCAGCCAATGGGCTCCCTGATAATTCAGCTAATGTAGGCGCTGTGATTGGTCGTTCGATCTGTACATTTTTCGGCACGTGGCTGTCGTCAACAGTCTCCCCCCGGCGAAGGATCTCCGCAGCCTCCTCCGGTTGGCAGCCCCGTGCCCGTCGCGCAGCGCGTCCTCTCTCATCGTTCCGTGGAGAGTGCAGGTTCGACGACGATCAGCTTCGATGTCGGCCGCCGAAATGTTCCTCCTCTTGTCGTTATCTCCACGTTCCGAATCACGCCGTCAGGTCCAGGGTAGGTATTGGCTACGATGCCGCGTGGCCACGTGTTTCGAGGCAGAGCGTGGTCGGCTATGATAACCA